TTCCACCGTTTCCACGGAAATTTCAAATAAAATAGTTCCAGCCTCAGGCGCTAGGTAGTAGTACAATTAATTTTTAGGTTAAGAAGTTGTTACTAGTTATTGCCAGATGGCGTCAATAAATCAGAATTTTTTGTAGTTTCCATAGTTTCATTGTCATATTATTAAACATTGTTCGTTGTTAAAATATGTCGTTGTCGTTGTCATAGTTGTCATCATATCTTATCAAATGATTATCAAAAGTTTTTCAAACTATAATCATATTTTGTTATGTGTTTTAATTAGACAATTCCTTTTGTTTGTGGGCCCTAAAATATAAAGTCTTTTATTTTTTGATATCATTTAAGTACATATTTATATTTACTCCATTTACAAAACTTTGGCGTATTAAGTTGGTCTTGTTTTATTATAATAAACGATGTTTAAATATTTGACTTATTAATAAAAACTTTAAATAATAAATAATATTCACACATGTTGGCTCTAATTTTTTAATAATTGTATTAATTATACTGTTAAATCTTATTTTTACATATCACAACGATACTTGTTATTAGTATTGTTGAATTTGTGTACAAAATAAGATTTAATAATCAAATTTAATTATCTTAGAGTAAATTCGATAAATACGCTCATTTAAAGAAGCCCGCGCTTCGATCCACTTAAAACAAGCCCTACTCAATAGATGGCGCCACTTTGTAGGACCATTTTTTTATGGCAGAGTCCATTCTTTTTCTAGCTAGGTATATTCTTTGATATTTATTATTATTATCTACTGGACAATTACTCTAGCAGATATGGTTTTAAGCCCAAAAGTTGATCACTCCCATAATCAATTCAAGCAGAAATATCCGATATTTCAGAACTTAAAGCCATCTCTATTAGAGTGCAAAGAATATACCTAGCTAGAAAAAGAATGGACTCTGCCATACTGAAAAATGGTCCTACAGAAGTGGCGCCATCTATTGAGCAGGGCTTGTTTTAAATGGATCGAAACGCGGGCTTTTTAAATGAGCGTATTTATCGAATTTTACTCTAAAATAATTAAATTTGATTATTAAATCTTATTTTGTACACAAATTCAACAATACTAATAACAAGTATCGTTGTGATGTGTAAAAAATAAGATTTAACAGTATAATTAATACAATTATTAAAAAAAATTAGAGCCAAACATGTGTGAATATTATTTATTATTTAAAGTTTTTATTAATAAGTCAAATATTTAAACATCGTTTATTATAATAAAACAAGGCCAACTTAATACGCCCAAAGTTTTGTAAATGGAGTAAATATAAATATGTACTTAAATGATAGCAAAAATAAAAGACTTACATTATATTTTTAGGGCCACAAACAAAAGGAATTGTCTAATTAAAACACATAACAAAATATGATTATAGTTTGAAAAACTTTTTGATAATCATTTGATAAGATTATGATGACAACTATGACAACGACAACGACAATATTTTTTGAGAATTTGACAATAGTATGACAATGGCCGTTGGAAACTATGGAAACTACAAAAAAAATTCTGATTTGACGCCATCTGGCAATAACTAGTAGCAACTTCTTAACCTAAAAATTAATTGTACTACCACCTAGCGCCTGAGGCTGGAACTATTTTATTTGAAATTTCCGTGGAAACGGTGGAGCCGCTTTTGCTATTTCACTTTCCCGCCCCGTTAGAGTACACGACAATTATATAATATGACTTTTCACTGACAGTGACATTATAAAAACGATAAGCACTTTTAATAAATGTGTTGATGGGGACCCAAAATCAATGCTAAAAAAGCTGTAAATCGTTACTGGCTTATTCAGAAACGAATATCTCCAATAAAAATAAAGCTATTGAGATTAATCAAAAAGCAAACTACCGTGAAAAGACGTACCTAATAGATGGTAAAATGATTTTTAAATTCCTTCCTTTTTTAACATATTCCACAGGGTATTTCACCAAACAACTTTCACCAAAATATCAACATGTGGTTTCCCCTCCTAAATTGACAGATGGAAACTTTCTTTTTTAATTTAGAAAGAGATACTAAAAAGTCAAATAATTTAGCTACAAACTGCTTAAAAATCATCAAAATCGGCCAATTAGAACAAAATATATTAAACTTTAAAACACATCAAAATTTTAAGGTGCCCGTTTTTCGTGCCGATGAGTGTATATTATATTTATATATCTATTTTTTTTAATATATCTTTAAGCATAATATATTTTTACCAAATAGTATTTCCATATAAATACAAATTTTTCATTCTTCGTTTTGTGACAAATTATACAAAATTGAAGGCATATAATCCCATAGAATTTGACACAAAATATTTATATTTCTTAATCCTATTTCCACATTAAAGCTATTTGAAAAAACGTAAGTTTCTTATGTATCAAAAATTATATCTAATTTTCTTTATTTATAGACGAATAATCTATTCAGTTGTACAAAGTATTACCACAGTTAGTAGATTTATATTTAGTTAACATTCCCCTAAACCTATGAGTATTATTAAAAAAATGGTTTTGCTTACCAGCTAGACAATTTTAAAAAATCACAAATGGGCTATTTTTAGTTTGATATAAGTAGATTTGGTTTTATGTTTTTTTCTATTTTGTTAATAATTTATTAATACAATCTGTCTCAAGAATTTCTTAACTTTTTTCAGCTGAAAACCGATTTCCTCTACGTTATCCATAAAACTACTCCTTCTTCTTGGTATCAAAATAAAATAATTGGAACCAATTTTACTCTACTCTAAAATTGCTTCGTTTTTTGTGTCCGTTAGAGGGCATCAATCAAACATTCCACATTTTTTTTCAACTAGATTATTGGCCACTGGATTTTAACGATTTTTGTAACAAAAAATTATTGTTGTATGTAAGCTTCGGAAAAATATTATTTTCTTTAAGAAAAACAATGCCAGATAGCGTTTTTCTACAATAGATAAATAATATAGCATATACTGGAAAGACCTAGACCAGACAAAGAAAATCCGCCGTCCAATTCCGAAGTCAAATGTTAAAGCATCTAGCAAAATATAGAGACTCCCCATTTAATTGAAATATCAGTTCTTGAAATATTTTAAAAACTGTATTTTCGTTTAAATTTGTTACTATCTAATGAACAATAAAAGCATCTTTTGTATAAAGGTAAAAGATATGTTCAATTTTATTACTTTGATTGCGAACATACATAGTAGTCCATGAAATTTTAGACACCCTGTATCATGTAGGAATTTAAAATTTGTTATAATGTTGATTCCATGTAATATCTTTGGTTGATTCTTAATGACTTGTATACAAGGTGGTCGTATTCCAAATGCAAAAAATATTAGCGCACATTATGAATATATTTTTTCAAATATACACTATGACTATGATTTAAATATACAGGGTGAGTTTCCTACGATGTTCTCTATGGGTATCTCCGAAACTACTGGAGATAGAGAGCCGGTTAAATGGGGAAAGAATTGTTTCTGAGGGTTCATGAATATGCGCCTTTCAGATTTTTGAGAAAGTTCATGGCTTACTAGATATTTAGAAAAAAAACAAATTTTGGCTATTTTTAAAATTCCCAATTCCATTATAATCTATTTTAGACAAAAAGGTTTCCGATAAAAGTTGTTGATAATCACATCCCTAATAAGTTTGTGTTCTCCGATTTTTTCTAAAGCCTGTAATTTTTGACATATGACAAACATACATATGTTTTTTTAAATGGAAACCATAGTTGGCCATGACTTCATAAAAAGCGCCATTTTTTAAGTTTTTCAGCGATATAAGCTATAATATGTTTTTTTCACAAAATTAGTGAGTTATGGCCAATTCTTATCTTTCTTGACTAATTTCACTTAGTTACCCGTGAAAACAAGTCCAATCGTCGTTGCTCTCAGAAATGTGAAACTGTCACATCCAAATTTTATAAATTAAAATGAATAAAAATTGTAAATATGAATTTTTCAAATGAAGAAAAACGTGTAGCATTATTAGTTCAACTTTCCTTGGTCGTTTTTTAGAGAACGGTTTTCAAGACATGTTAGAAAAGTTAAATTTAGATACTCGCGCATTAATAGAGCGGTTCCAACATGACTTTCATTATGACACACCCCCCCCCTGCAATGAAAGAAATGTTAAAAAAAAATTATATCATCATAATTATGTAGACTCGGGGATAGAAAGAGGTGGACCAATTGCATGGGTCTCCTCGATCACCTGACCTATCTATTTTAGATTTTTTATGCGGTATGATTAACAAGGTTTACAAAAAGACTTATGAATTAAGAGATGCACTCGAAGAGGCGGTACAGAAAAAGTTTAATTAAGTCGACCGGTCGAGAATAGCTAGAAATTCAGTTTTAAATAGATGCATTTATGTACTCAAAACAATGGTGGATTTTTTGAACATTTTCTAAAATAACTTAAAGTGTATGTAGTGATATTATTTGTTTGAGTTTTAGTTTGTGTAATGTAAGTTATAAATCATAACAAAATAAGAATATCATACCAGGGGTGCTAAGTGAAATTAAAAGATTTCGCTTTTTATGAAGTCATGGCCAACAATGGTTTCCATTTAAAAAAACATATGTTTATGTCATATGTCAAAAGTGACAGGCTTTATGGAAAATCGGAGAACACAAACTCATTAAGGATGTGATTATCTACAACTTTTATCTGAAAACTTTTTGTCTAAAATAGATTATAATGGAATTAGGGACAATTTTCAAAATAGCCAAAATTTGTTTTTTTTTTCGAAATATCTAGTAAGCCATGAAATTTTTCAAAAATATGAAAGGCGAATATTTATGACCCCACAAAACTGAAATTCTTTCCACATATAACCGACTCTCTATCTCCAGTAGTTTCCGAGATACCCATAGAGAACATCGTAGGAAACTCACCCTGTATATATTATTAAGTAAAGTCTCTTTTTAAGAACTTCTCAAGACAGATTGTATTAATTTTAACAATATCATAAATATAGCTAGTTTGATAACCTTTTAGAGTAAATTTCATAATTTAAGCTTAAACTAACCACTCGATGGTATGGGACCTGACCATCGCTGATTCTGGTCACACCTCTGTTCCGGCGCAGTAAGTTAGAGCATTGTCGGACGAGTGCTCTGCTTGCCAAATCATTCTCCACCTCTACCAGATAAAAATAAATTCATATAATCGTCTTTACTCTATAAGTTTTACATAAAGGTACATTTGCATGCACGCAGATGTTCAGACAGAGCTCTTGTACGGAGCAATCCACAATACTTGAAATAGTTGGCTATCTTAATTTTGCTCCTTTTTAACGCCTGTTTTACCGCCTATATTAAAAATCGTGACACACACTTACCTGTAGAATGCTACCTGGTGTCAAGGCAAACTTATATAAAATGTACATGGGGATACAAATTATAGAAGAGGCAGTTAAGACGTATCCCACTTGAAGGCTCCATTCTGGATATTCGTACTCTTTGCCCAGCATCTCTTGATTAGTCCACAGAGAGCACCCAAAAATAATCTAAAATATAACAAATTTAATGTACGTACGTTTCTCAAATATTCCTGTTATTCTTTCATTCTTCCCATTCAGATAATAATCCGGTAAATGTATGTTGAAATCACGGTCTAATTCGTCGACCCCTTTTAGGGAGTAGTTTTGGAAGGAAAATTGAAACACCGTGATTGGCCGAAAATGGCCCCAAATGGCCAAAAAATCAGTTTTTCGCAAATGTCTGCCAAAATATGCAATTTACAAGAAAAATACAAATTTTTCTTGGAATAAAATATGAAGCTTAGGTAATTACCTACAAAAATGGTCCTTATCATTTCATACGTAGAATTAGTAGTTTTCGAGATATTTCGCCTCAAATATTCCTAAATTTTCTCTCCAAATCTTAACGTTCCGAAGATAGACTTCAAAAGCGTATCATTGATTGATAGGACAAATAATTGTTTAATAACTCGGCTAAAATTTAATATTTTTTGATGATTCAAAGTTCATTTAAAAAGTAGAATCAACAGCTCTCACATTTTGGAACTTGTTTGAATTTTGTCAGATTTTATGATAATAAAGTAATCGGGGAAACATTCCTCAGCCCAAAAATTTTCAGATTTTTACAAACTTATTAATATTTTCACTAATAATAGCTTATTTGTCAAGATCTGTGTTCTGGCAGTGGCTATTAACTATTATTAACGAATGATTATTAACTATTCGTGAGTGGCTTTTTCCGCTTTTTGGGAATTTCCGGAAAGTGTCAAAACAAAACATAATAACTTTATAAGTAACAAACATTAATAAGGAGTTGGAAATCAATAATAAAAGTTCAAAATTGCCTGCAATGTGTTGCAACTCTTTCAGAATATATTGTTCGTGTCAGATACTCTGACTATATCAGATATAATAGACTACCTTCACTATATCAGATATAATAGACTACCTTCAGCATTTGGTCTGAAATATCAGCATCCAAGGAACGTCCTACGTTCCTGATGGTCCAGAGACTGAGGAACATGACTTATAAAATTGTGTATCACAATGCTTGTGATATCTGGCACCCGCACTGGCCAGATCAATCAATGAAATTCTTGCCAAGAGATTTTTGACATCTTCGTTTGCTGTATTATCTTCTATCACATCCTGTTTTATCGAAAAGTCTGGCTTTGAAATGATATAGATCCGCTTTTTTTAGCAGATGCCTTCTTCAATTCCTTTTATATTAACGTTTCTGATCCACAGAATAGGCAGTTATTATGAAATTCAAATCCTCTGTCACTCTTGCGGCTCTTTTTTTTTCTTCGGAGCCCTAAGACTTGGAGAGAAAATTTAGGGATCATCGATGCGGAATATCTTGAAAACTACTAATTCTACGTAAAAAATGATAAGGACAATTTTGGAGGTAGCTTCATTTATCCAAGAAAAATTTTCTAAATTACATATTTTGGCAGATATTTGCGAAAAACTGTGATTTTTCGTCCATTTTGTGCCATTTTTTAGCCAAAGCTGGCCGAGCACGGTGTTTTTCCCTTAAAACTACTCCCCAAAAGGTACACAATCCAACTAAAAAGTGAAGGTCGACAAATTACGCCAAGATTTGGGTCTTTCCGTGTACTTATTTAATGGACTATAAGGGTTTGTTTTATCTTTAATAGACAAATGATCAAGCAACCCCTATTGTGTTAAAAGAGGTACTTACTAGAAGAAATATAGGACTTATATATTTCCAGCACAGCCTCCAAAAGATGCCAGGTTTGTGCCCGATCATCTTTTCGATGTCTCTAGCAAAATTATCAGTACCGTAGAGCCAACAGACACCAGCGTTTTCGACAAACACCACAAAAAGGATGGCCAAACCAGGCCCGTAGATGTTAAGCATATTCACCAGGTAAACACCACCCTAAAAATAACTCAAATTGTATTTTTAAGAACATTTAAATTAATAATAATAATAGAATCTTTAGATTATTGAGTCCTGTTACTAACATAGGTTGTTGTTGGCAAGGCACATATATAGATGCCAAAAAGCAATACGGCAACAAAAACTTCTCTGTGTCTGCCAAGAGTACGAGGATATTCATCGCATAGAGCTGTAATCATAGCTTCCAGGCCTCCGAAAGTACTATCAAGTCCTAGGGTGATGAGCATCAGGAAGAATATGATGGACCAAAATACCGAACCGCTCATCGTGGCTATTGCTTCTGGATAAACTATGAAAACCATTCCAGGACCTGAAAATAAAGTTTTAGTTATTATTTTGCTCTATTTGGCAAAAGATTATTCGATTTTCACAAACTACGCCCAACAAATGACAAAAGAAATATAATCCACGCGCACTAGACAAACTTTAGTAAATGAAAATTAACATTGGGAAAGAAATAATATAATATTATTTTTATTATTATGTTAAAAAGTTAAATAAAGCATTTTTTAATGAAAATAAGTATACAGGGTTGTTCACCACATACGACACGGAGTATTGTAGCTAAACGATTAGATTTTTACAAATTGTAAGTTTTGGGTTCGTCGAGGGACTAGTGGAGCTACAATTTAAAAATAATTTTACAAGATACAGAGTGTCACAAATAAGTAAAAAATAGTATAGTTTTTTTTTAAATGGACACCCTCTATATTATCCTATTTTTTTGGATTCTACGATTGAGGTAAAGGTAAATTTGATTAAGGTTTAACACACTTAAACCTTACCGTTTTTGAAATATTTTTAATTTTGTGAAATTGCAGTAAAAAATTAAGGCTTCATTTCTCCAAGGCTATCAAAGTTTTTAATACTTAATATTTACTAGAGGTTACTTACTGATCAAATATTATGTTGCAATAATAAAAATTATACTACCTTATACAGAGTGTCCAAAAATTTATATTAAATAATTACTAGCTTTAAACAGCAATAACTTGTTTAATTTAAATAGAACACCCTGTATATTTTACGTAAAACAGATGCACAATTTAATTATCTATCAAACTGTATTATACAATTTTTTACCTATCTCGTCAAGTTTTCGTAGAAAATGAATTTTCTTATAATTTATGTAGACCTTATTTATCACTATATCCATGGAATATTTACATTTTAGATTTTTTAAAGCAACATATGTACAAAATGTACAGGTGGTAAAAATAATAATATTGCAATACAATTTGTTTACAAATCGAAAACTTTTTAAATCTTTGTAAATGAGTACACCAAATACCTTAAATTTAATTTAAAAATTAGTTAATTACATACTTGTTGTGTAAGTGTTTTAATTAATAAATTATTCTAAATAAATGTAGATTCGATTCAGAAATCAATACAATAATAAATTAAGAAAATGAACATTTCTGTTGTTATAAGCATTCGTCAAAAAATGAAATAAAATTTATAAGGTGTTACATGTGAGCATTTGGAGTAATTATTATTAATCAATGTAAAGTCAATTAATGTAGTTGGAATACTCGGATCATATTAATTCACCCTCTTTAACAAAAAATATTTCATCAGTTTTTGTTTTTATTTTTTTAATGAAATGAGCGAACTATATCGACAATATTAGTATCTGGTACACTTTAAAAATGTCATGTGTTACATCTTTAACAATAATCTAAAATGTCAATATTCCATGGGTATAGTGATAAATGAGGTCTAAATTCTAAGAAAATGCATTTTCTACGAAAAGTTGAAGAGATAGGTGAAAAATGGTATAATACAATTTGACAGACAGTTAAATTGTGCATCTGATTCTCCTAAAATATACAGATTGTTCCATTTAAATTAAACAAGTTATTGCCGTTTAAAGCTACTAATTATTTAATATAAATTTTTGGGCACTCTGTATAAGGTAATGTAATTTTTATTATTGCAACACAATATCTGATGAATAAATAATCTTCAGTAAATATTTAGTATTAAGGACTTTGATAACCTTTGACAAATTAAGCCTTAAATTTTTTACTGCAATTTCACAAAATTGATAATATTTCAAAAACGGTAAGGTTTAAGTGTGATAGACCTTAATCAAATTTACCTTTATTTCAACCGTAGAATCTAAAAATAGAATAATATACAGGGCGTTCTATTTAAAAAAATACAAATATTATATTTTTTACTTATTTGGGACACTCTGTATCTTAATAATTATTTTTAAATTGTAGCTCTAATAGTCCTTCAACGAACCCAAAACTTACAGTTTGTAAAAATCTAATCGTTTAGCTACAATACTCCGTGTCGTATGTGGTGAACAACCCTGTAGATTATAGTATAAATTTTGAAAGCACATTATAAAACAAATAAAATAAAAAGATAATATACCTACAGGGAGTCTCATTTAAAAGCACATAAGTTTAAGTCATATTTCGAAAACGACAGCTCTCAGCGAAAAACTAGTTACGTCACTAGACTTTGCGTGAAAAACTCTACGAAACTCAGGTTTCATCTTTTCCATAAGCTATAGGATACCCGAGATACGAAGGTACTCGAAAAATGCAAAATTTTAAATTCGCCCTGTATTTCAGTAACTAAGAGGGCTAGGGCAAATATGTTTGTAGCATCTTTAGTTTCATAAAAAAGTAGCAAAGTTACATAAAGCCCGCATCTTTGTATCTCTACTCATAAACAAAAAAAGACATAAAATATACGAAAATAGAACACCCTGTACAGTTACAGTTTATTGAAGTTTATTCAATATCTAGATGTTTATCTTGTGGCTGTACGACTTACTCAAATGAGAATTCCCGTCCTATAGACCACTTTTTAATATCCGGTTCTGTCTTTTTTCAGTAAGGCACTTTTCAGTAAAAGAAAGCCGGTGTTACTAAGCAAAAGCTACATGAAGAATGTTTGTTGACTTTGCCGGACAACGGTATGTAAATATACAGGGTGGTCCGAACTGTGCTCCGGAAACTTCGGCAGCATATTCTGCAGATAAAAAGAAATAAAAAACATCTTATAAATGTATGTCCTAAAATGCTTAGTTTCGGAGATACAGGGTGTAGAAGTTTCATTTTTATTTCGATTTTTTCTAAATCATTTCTGAAGTAACGTCAATATTTAGATGAAATTTGGCGTCTGGGAGTTTTTTGATATGAGAAATTTGGATTTGAGGTCAAAATGACTCCTACTTGTAGAGGGCGCCACCTACATATTTTTAACTGGTAGACTAACTGGAGAGTAATAACTTTTCGTCCGTACTTGTATAAAACTACTAAGTAAAAAAATATGCATTTACGACGTTTTTAACGTAAAAAAGGTCTCTTAATAAAAATCGCTACGTGTAATAGTTCTCGAGATATTTGAAATCGAAATTATCAATACCTGTCATCATTGACATAAATTATAAACATGTTGACTAAATAGTTAATATACTGAAAATAATGAATAAATTTTATATGTTTTTGTGCCAAATCATCATCAATCATCATTTTTCCGAAGAAAATTTTATAATTATAATTTAAAAAAATAAAAATTTCCCAAATTTATCATTTCAGTCAAATAACCATCTACCCAACATGTTTATTTTTTGTCAATAATGACATGTATTGACTATTTCCAATCTAAATATCTCGAGAAGGGTTGCTCGTAACGATCTTTACCAAGAGACATTTTTTACGTAAAAAAATACGAAAATGTATATTTTTTCACTCAACAGTTCATAACGATGCTCATAACGATTTTTACCAAGGGATATTTTTTACATTACGAAAATGTATATTTTTTCACTCAGTAGTTCTATACAGGTACGCACAAAAATTTATTACTCTTCAAAACAGTTAAAACACTTGTAGATGGCGCCCTCAACAAATAGGAGTCACAATGACATCAAAATCAAATTTCTCATGTCAAAAAACTACCAGACACCAATTTTTATCCAAATATTGACGTTACTTCAGAAATTATTTGGAAAAAATCGAAATAAAAATGAAACTTCTACACCCTGTGTCTCCGAAACTAAGCATTTTAGGACATACATTTATAAGAAGTCTTTTACTTCTTTTTATCTGCAGAATATGCTACCCAAATTTCCGGAATACAGTTCGGACCACCCTGTATATTATAACTAGCGTAAAAATGTAATCTCTAATGACGCCTCTTATATTCATTAATACAAACCAAAAAAGAACTTCAAATTTTAAAAGCCTACTAGAGCTACTTTAGACCATATAACAAGACAGAGGTGTATAGTTCGTCAACGAACTAGTTCCAATGAACTATTCCGACCCCGGAATGAAAGCAACTAGTTCCTGGTTTCTCAAAGAACTAGTTCCTCAGGATCTATTCCGGGATCGAGACTGTGACCGATATATAATAATAAGCGAAGGCGACGGATCGGCCAGCGCGCGTAGCCCGATGCTAGGCAGGAGTGGGGAGTGCCAGCCGTATGTTATCGGATCCGGACCTAGAGGAACTAAATAAAAAACCAGTTTACGTACGGATCAGCCAGCGCGATCGATGCTAGGCAGGAGTGGGGAGTGCCAGCCGTAGGTTATCGGATCCGGAACTAGAAGAACTAAATAAAAGACCACTTTACGTACGGATCGGCCAGCGCGATTGATGCTAGGAAGGCGTGGGAGTGCCAGCCGTATGTTATCGGATCCGGACCTAGAGAAACTAATTAAAAGACTAGTTCACAGGAATCTGTTCAGTCGGCAGATCCGAGATATAATACAAGGCGACGACGATGGATTCGGCCTTGTCTATTGCTGTCAGAGCCAGTATATATTTTTAGGGAACAATTTCTGTTACATTTTTTAGAATAAAGGTAATTTCAGTTTAAGATGCACATGTTTTTCTCGATCCTATTCAAAAGTGAAAGTTTATGGATTTACTGTTGGTGACGGTTGGTTTTGGGAACTCTTGTCTATTAATTTATGACCGAAGAC